GGGGTGGCCCCATTTCTATAAGCTAATCCAGGGCCCCGCTGTTCTAAGTTACATAAAATACAGGACGCCAGAAACCAACCACACAGAAAAGAGGCGCTCTGTCCAGCATGAAATGGATTCCAGCTGGGACAACAGGAATCCCACTTCCACTTAAGGACACAGGGCAAGGCTGTCTCTGGCTGAAGCCACAGCTTCTCTCACTCCAAGCCAGGAAATACCCTGGCTTGGCATCTCAAACAGACCCTGGATTGTGCCCAGAGCATCTTCCCCATGTAGCCCTGGGCTCTGCGGGCTGCTCTCACTTCCATCTCCAGACATTCACAATTCCTGGCTGTTTTTATTTCTAAGACTTTGCTGGGCTTTGCCAACATCAAATTCCTCTGACTAGTTTCTCACTTCTGACCCCAGAAACCCGGAGCCTGAACACTATCTCTTGCAAAGATGTAAAACTCTGTCAGAGTTCCGTTCCAGCAAGGAGTCAGATTTTCCAACCCTCATTCCACTGGAGGGGGGTGGTCTGGTCAAGGTGGGACCAAGTTATCCAAGTTGCCTACCAGCAACCCCAGGTTGGGAGTCCAAACAGGGAGGACCCCTGGATCTGAGATGGGCGGCAGCATCCTGAGACCACACATCAGAAACAACTCAGGAACACACACCCCACATGCTCAGGAACACTGCCCCGGGGGTGATTCCAGAACGTTAGCAGCAAAAGAGCCACCAGAGGTCTAGAAGATGACTTCCTTATTTGACAGGAAGCCAGGCAGCCTGTAGACCAGAGACCTGGACCACGTCACCAGCTCAGCAACAGCTGGGAAGGCTTTGGGGCCCCCACCGGCCCAGAGCCCTCGTAGGTTACCTTGGTGCTCTGTTTCTCCTTCATGATGATCCGGGACAGGAGGACCACCCAGATGGGCATGGTGGCCTTGACTGCAAAGAGAGGGTAGGGGCATTCAGGGAGCTGCGCTAGTCCCAGAACCCACTCTGGGACCTGTCCCAACCCCAATGGGGTGGAGGGGTAGGAAGGCTTGGCTGCCACTCAAGTCACTTCAGCTCTTCTTTACCTGTGGGCCCTCCCCGAACCCAACAGTTCTGATCCGGCCTGCTCACTTCCCAGCTTTCTTCTCAGTCCCTTCCCTCCCGGAGAGCCCTGCGCGTGTCCCTCTCTTCCTAAAAGCTTTGGCGGCCCCCAGCGCCTTCTGGACTGAAACGGACTTCTCAGCCCGACGTTCCAGGCCGTCGAGGGCACCCCAGCCGGCGCACTCCGACCCAAGCGTCAAAGCCCAAGGTGACGTGCTCCAGCCGCCGCCCCCTAGGCCAGCCTCGGCACCCACCGGTGTGCGCGTAGGACACGGGCACCTTCCATATGCTGACGTGCGCGGACACTGATGCGAAGTACTTGCCGAAGGCGAGCGGCAGCACGTAGCGCGGGTAGAAGCGCGGCGGTAGCAGCGGGCCGGACGACTGATGCGGACCGGGCCCAGGGCCCGAGACGGGCGGCGCCGGGGGCACGCGCCAGGCGCGGAGCAGAGGCGGGAGTCCTGCGCACAGCGCCAGGATGTGGCACAGCGACACGGTCACGGGGAATGGGAAGGCGCTCAGGATCACCTTGTTGACCACATTGCCGCCCGCGCTCAGCGCGTACCACAGCAGGCACAACGCTGCCACCCGCGCGCCTTCGCGCGCCCCTCCGCCGCCGCCGCCGCCGGCTCCCGAGCCCCCGGCGCCCGCGCCCACTCCCACCGCCGCCGCCGCCGCCGCCGCCATCCTTCCCGAGCGGCCGCCCCTTCCCGCCCGTCCGACGGCCCGACGCCGGGCGGGGGCGGGGCCGGACGGGGGTGGGAGCGCCAGCCAACGCTGCTGCCTATTAGCCACCGTCGCTTCCGTCACCGCCACGCGCCGGCCGACGCGCCCGCCACCACGTAGCGAACGTAGGCCCCGCCTTCCTTTGGGTGGGCTTCCGGGAGGGCGGGGTCTGTCCCGGAAGCGGAAGGAAAGGGGACCGTGAGCCCAGCAGGGCTCTGAGAGTAGTGGGCTGGCCTGAGCGAGCGTAGACTGGGTCCCGGAGCACAGGCAGGAGGGGCGGGAGGGGGCGGTAGGACCCCGCTTTGTCGGTGTCTGTGAGCGGGCGATCGAGCTCGCGCGTCAAACCTCGATATCCGGGCTGCATTGGCGCCCTCCAGCCAGATTCCTGATGGTCGGCGGCGGGAGAAAAAGGTAAAAGACCAGACCTTTCGGGGAGAGAAACCGAATGGTGAAAACCTCTTCATGGGCTAAATTCTTTCTGCAAACCTGGAGCGAACTCCCGTGGCCGCACTCCAACTGAGGGGCCAGCCCAGAGCGCCCTGGAGCACGTCTGGGAATGCGCTGTGCGGTATTACTGTCTTCATTTCACCGACTGATGGATCGAAGCCCAGAGAAGGGAAGCGACGTGGCATGGGTCCTCTGGCCAGTTTGGGAGTCGCAGTAATGGCAACCTCCTCGGGCACCTGTCTCTAGGGATCTGCAGGAGGGAGGGACGTGGTGTTGGCCCCTACTGCCGATGCTCAAGGACCGGTTGGGATAGAGCAGCCCAAAGCCGCAACGGAGGAAAACAAATCGGTTTTCAGCAAGATGATCTTACACTGCAGGACTTTGTTTGAAATATCATGTACTTCCAACCTTGGGGGTGATAGGGAGTGTTAAAATTTTTCTTTTACTGTATCTTTACTTGGCAAATTAAAAAGTGGCAACCCAGCTTGATCCGCAAAATGTTGGTGGGAAGTCACAGCATAACCTTGTGTTATGACTTGTGTTCTCAAAGTCAGGCAGTATCTGTACCCTAGGGCTTACTAGATACTGACACAGGAGAGGTGGTGCCTGCAGGGGGTGAAGGAGCAGCGACCTCCCTCAAAGCCCAGGTCTGAGAAAAGGAGATGCTCATGGGGTGCCAACCTGCACCTTAATAGCTTTCAGCTGTGCCTCTGACCCTTCGTTGGTCTCAGGATATCCACATGTCAGCTGGCCACATTAGAGGTAAGAAAACAGGCACAGTGGACTAAGGAAACTAGTTATTCCACAGCACACATGGTCCTGATGACAAGCTTTCACTCCCCCCCCCCCCGGCTAAATTTGCATAATTTAATCCTCACAGCTTTGGGGTATCACTTATATCTCCCAAATGAGGACAGGTGTATAGGAGTAAAGTGATTAGCCCAGGTCCATACAGGTGGTAGATGGCAGGGGCAGAGTTTAACCTTAGACTGCCCTCAAAGCTACTTCACCCACTTCTCAAGAGAGGGTATGCCCTGCACTAGCCTATGTCAGAATTCCCCAAGGCTCTGAAGCTGTAGCTCTGCATTGATTGCATGTTTCTGGACCTTCTGATTTGCCTGGTGGGGCTGCTTCTCTAAAGGGGGAGTTGCTTCCTCATCTGTGAAATCAAGTAAATGTGGTCAAGATGACCTATTCCAGAGTGAAAAAAATAGGAAGCCAAAGCTTATGGTTTCAGAGATGAGGGAGAAGAAAAGATCATCACTTTATAGTCAAGGAAGAACTACAAGTATTTCAGGGGGTAAGACAAGGTCACTTGAGACCTGGGTTGTAGAGCCTGCTTGGGAGGGTAAAGCTCTCTCTTTCTAGGGAAAGTGAGGTCTGGAATGGAGACAGATGTGGCCTCTCCGACTCAGTCACCCAGAGTTAGCAGGTGACTCTGGAGGTGGGAGAGGCACTGTGGCCCTGAATGAATGAAAGGCAAGGTGGAGGTCAGTCTCCATGCAGAAGGCTAATAGGCTGGACTTGGTTACTTTGCTCTGCCCACCTCCCCACAGCCTGCCTAGCTATGGGGCCTGAACCTTGGACATGGGGTCCAGGTTGTCTTGGCTAATCCAGAATCCAGAAAGGATGAATGTGGCTATAAAGGACCAAATTAAAAAACAATTCTCAGACTGGTTTGTGCAAATGTTTTTTTTTTTTTTATTTCCACATTTATATCACAAGGTGTCCACTTACTGGACCAAATAGCAAAGTTGCTCCCTTCTGCGTCCTGAGAACACAGAAGTCTAGGTACTGTACATTCACTAAGGCTCCTTGTTTTTGCAAATCGCGTTTATGACAAATAACCATAAGGCAAACGAATCTAAAGGAATGGTTATGAGTGTTTCCAGCATACAGACAGGTCTCTTCTCGCCCAACAGTACAGCTTACACACCAGTAGCACCCGCGGTTACTTTTGTGTTTTGAGGGTAAGGGAACTCTAGAAAGGTGAACTTTTCTAGATATGTGTGGGAAGGGGAAACTGAAGAGGGAAGAACAAAAGGCAAGTTATTTGTATGGTGGTCAGATGGAAGAGGGGGCAAAATAAACTTTAGAAAACAAATTTTTGCAGCATTTCTTTAAAAACTGGGCTGTAACTGAAACAAGATACAAATGTGTGGATGCCCAGGGAGCATGGGTCGAACTGGTTGGCCAGCTGGCCTGCGTGATGCCAGCAGCTCACTACAGCTGAGGCACCGTGATGGGAAAGCTGGCCAGGTGGGGTGCAAACCGAGGCCGCAGTGTTGCCCACTGCCTCAAACACTTAGGGCCATGTTAAAAAACAGAAAATGCAAAGAGATGAGATGCGTGCTTCTGTCGCTGTGTTAAAGGTAACCTCTCCCACAGGTTTTCTGTGCCTGCCTGCAACTGAGGTCCCAGCTCACCAGGGCTGGGAAGCACCCACACCTCTTCTGGGGTGGGAGACTAACGCTTTTTATAGCTGGTTTGCTATAGAGTTCTGAACTCACTTTGCTGGCCTTCCTTCCACGCGGTCCTTCCTTTGCAATTTTGTTAGTAAACTGGTAGCAGCATTTCACAAAAGGAGAATTTAGAGGGATGAGTGCAGAGAGACCTAGAGACTCTCGCCCCCTCCCTCCCGCCCCGGGCCGGACCCCCCGGATTCCCAACCACTGGAGGCGGCGGGCCCTGGCGCCCGTCCTCCATGGCTGACTGCAAGGTGGGAATGCACTTAGAGCCCGAGGGGCCGGTCAGTCCAAGCAGACATAAGGCAGAATGTTCAACCGCCCGTCGTCGCCGTGCGGGTCGAGCGATATGCACTGCGTCCAGTCATACCAGTTACCCTGTGTGTCCTGACACCCGTTCACCCCTGGCCACTGGTGGGCCTGAATTCTGTCCAGATCGTCCTGGGTGACCTCGCGGCTTAGCCCGGGGAAGTCCGTGGGCGGGCCATGAGGCACCAGCACGTGCGGCTTCCGGGCCCCGCGCCGAGTGCTCTCCTCCTGTTTCAGGTACTCGGACATGAAGTGGTGAGCGCCCGGGGTCTGTGCGCCTGACGACGAGAGCAGGCTGCTCTGCCGGCTCAGGTAGGACTGGATGATCTCATTGCGCGACAGTTCCTTCCAGTTCGTCTGCTCAAAAGGGCTCTGGAGGCTGGCCTTGGCCTCGGGCTTGTCCAGCTCTGTCCTGGGCTGCTCCGTGTGCACGGGGCTGTCGGCCCGCACTGGCTCTTTCTGGGTCAGAGGTTTGATCTGTCTCGTCATGGGGTCAAAAGTGAGCTTCCGCTCTTTTAACCGGACAGGCTTGACACCGGCCTCAGCCACCTGCCCGTCCAAGTTAACCGTGTAGTCACGAGGCCGGTACCTCTTCTTCTTTTTGCTGTCCGACCCACCGGAGGAGGCAGCATCGCTGTCCGCCTTGGAGGAGTCTGGGGAGAAGCCTGCCCGGGGCAGGAGGGGCTCGGCCGGCGGCAGCCCCGCCTTGCAGCCTGACCCTGCGAGCCGCTGGTGGCCCTCCGGCTGCTCTAGCCAGCGCACGGGGCTCTCTGCGCTGGGCAGCAGCTCGAGTCGCCGCACGGGGGGCGTGGACGGCTGGGCCAACGGAAGCGGTGACGGCACCTGGGTGGCATCCAGCGACTGGGGCCGAGGTGATGGGCTGGGCAGGGAGCCCTTGTACGTGTACGGGCTCCGCTGCCGGGCAAAGGAGCCCTCGTGCCGTGAGTTCCGGGAACTGAGAGAGCAGCGAGGTGGCCCCTTGGGGTGGGGGGGCCCTGGAGTCTCGTCCACCCTGTCCAACTGCTGCAGCACCACAGCCTTCGTCTGCAAGCAGGGCCCGGGGGGCTTGCCCAGGCCCGGGGAGCTGGTATGCGGCCTCACGGCGTTGACGGGGATCTTGCCGCTGTGCTTGTCGTTCTCGCCGTGCTCCAGGCGGTTGCCCTCAGGGCCCACGTGCCCACTGCTGTCCAGGGGGCTGGGGAAGCTCTCAGGGCTCCCGCTGATCCCATTGGTTGGGAGGGGGGATGAGTTGGGTACCAGGGAGTCGTGGCTCGCCTTGGAGACCTTGGGAGGTGGCCCTGGGTGACCGAGGTCACGCTGGTCTCCCCGGCGCTTGCGGCTGCCCAACCTGTCCAGCCGCTGCCCGCACAGCCTCGGCATGTCATTGCGGTACTTCAGGTCGTGGACGCTCTTGGGCGGGCCCGCCGCCCCTGCCTCTGGCCGGCAGTTATGGGCACCACCGTTGGCTGAGCCGGTGGCAGCCGCCAGCCCCCGCAGCGCAGCCTCATTCTGGTGCACGGGCTCGATGAGCTTCTGCCAGCTCCGCAGCAGCTTCTTGGCCCGCTTGGCGAGCTCCTCGTTCTTCGTCTTCTTGCGGACGTCGTTGATGAGCTTCCCAAGGCGGGTTTCCTACAGCCAGAGAGACACAATGACATGCTTTTAGGACAGGGACACTCCATGAAAAGGGAGCTGGGACAGAAATGGAGCTTCCCATGGAGCTGGGGGAAGGGCTCCGTATCTTTGAAATGACCCCACAGGCCCCCTAAACCACCAGTCTCCCAGACACAAAACCTATGAAGTTGTTGGGTCCCTCGTGACATTTAAATTCTCAGACCCAAGTCCTCAGATCTTACAGTCCATGGGACAGACAGGGCATTCTCAGAAGCATCATCTCACGGGCTCCCAGCTCCTGAAGGCTGCAGATCATTCAAAGCCACTGCAGGGACACTCTGCCGGGGGAGATTTCTAGGTGAGAGGACACCGTGGCAAAGGCAACCACACACGGGACCTCGGGCCAGTATCACTCCCTGGAGCCTCTGCTGCGCGCTGCAGAGTGTGCAGGGCCTCCTGCAGAGAAAGGGGCCTCGACTCTGAACTAAAGCCTCTCGTATTCCCTGCAGTGTCCATGGGAAGCATGTGCTGTGGGCTGGTACAGTGCAGGCCAGAAGGGCATGCCCCCCTCACTCTGCCCTTTAAGACCTCGCTGGGCCAGTGAGCAAAGTCTCTGAGGCTCCAAGAAGTCAGAAAGCCCAGGGCTGGAGCAGCCCAGGCCCCACCCTCACTGCTGCCCCAGTGCTCAGACCGGGACACTCACCTCCAGTGCCTCTTTGGTAATGGGGTATTTCTCCAGGCTGGAGATGACTTCCTGCACCGCCACCATGTTCCGGATCTGTAAAACAAGAGCCACTGTCAGACCCCAGGCACTTTTCCCTGTGCCGGCCTGCTCCAGAACTCTCCCTTTCCCAGGAGCCAGTGGAGCCAGCATCACCAGAGACCCACCTCCGGCCGCCTTTGACCTGCTCTCAGGGGCCAACATGGCACCGAGTGCGCACCCTCCCCTGCCTCCTCTAGTGCATGGTGAACAGGTGACTATGAGTCTGTCTACGGACACACCCATCTGCCCAAGTGGCTGCCACACAGCTGAAATTCACATTTATGAAACAAGATTCACTCTTGATGTGGGAAATGCACTCAAATCTGCCATCTGACGGGAGGTTGAAGGATTTATTGAATAAAATGCACCATGTTTAAAACAGCCGTGCATAGTAATCTAATCAACTTAGTTGCATTAACAAGATCTTTATAGAGTTCATCTAAAGACATCACAAGGAGAGCAGAAGTCACAAGGTGGGAGAAGACCAGTGCCACGGGGCCCCACGGGTCTGTATGTGAGCCTACAGAGAACGCGGGCCAGGAGGCACAAATAGGGACCGTGCAGCAGTGCTCGGCTCTCTTGGTCATCAGGCGAGGCAGACTGAACCCACACGTGGCTCCACTGAATACAGAGCAGACTGCTGGAAACGGCACCTGACAACACCAGTGGTTCCAGGGTGTGGCCACTCTGGGGAGCACTGGGCTGAGTCTGGTCAAATCAAACACTGTGTGTCTCGTGACCACGCAGTTCTATACCTCAGATGACACATGCTATGAGCCAGGCCTGTTCCACCAAGGTCTGTTTCCATACAGCACTACTCCATTGAATTATCACAACCTCAAGGGGAAGGTGCTAACTGTTATTACCATCACATTTTACAAATGTGATGTAAAAGAGTGGGTCATGTGGTCATATAATGACACCACTGTCGTTCAAAAGTTGAAGGAACACACTAAGAAATTCAAGAGCTCTAGAAATGAGCATACTGCAGCTTCAGTACATCAACAGGATGAACTTCAAACCACGGTGGATGAAAAGTCACAGGAGATACACACTGTTGATTCCAATTACGCTAAGCATCACAGCATACTCAAAAGTTAATATGAACCCCAGATCTAAATGTGAAAGCAAAAACTCTTAAGGCTTCTAGGATAAACAGGAGACTATCTTTGCAACCTTGGGGTAGACAAATATTTTTTTGGAGCCCCAAGGCAGTGATGTCTAAGAAAATACCCTGACAAACCAGGCAGTGAGGCTGGTGCCACAGGAACAAGGCCAGCCGCTCCCTGTCCCCAGCCCTGGGGTTCTGGCCCTGACAAGGTCCCAGGCTTGCCACATGGCCTCTCTCCACCCCAGTGACCTCACCCTGGTATATTTAGAGCCCTGGGTCCCTGTGCACTCCTGAACCAGCAGTCCCCACAGAGTAAACCCAGTGGCACAGAGTGTCCTTGTCCTCAGGCAGACACTGTCCTGCTGCCAGATAGGAGGGGGGAGGCAGAACACCTGAGCAACCCTCGGGGTTGGAGCAAGCTGGCGCTGTCGACCCTCGCACAGCCAGAGACCCTCCTGGACGCTGCACAGGGTGGGGCTGGGGTAAGGCCTGTGGACCCACTGTCACAGGCGAGCAGCTCCTGCACTCAGGCGGGGATCCGAAGAGGCTCTGGCTTTGAGGAGGCGCTCAGGCCCTCGGCCCTGTGGAAAGCACTGTGTCTGCCGCCTTCCTCAAGTTCAGGACCACCCTGCGGGCTCACCCTTCTGGCTCTGCTGCACTCTGCTCCAGCCATGCTAGCAAGGGTGCTGAGCACTGTGTGGGGAGCATTATCTGGGCATTCTGGAGATAGTCAGGCCCTTGGGACCAGGAAGCAGAACAAGTTCTGCCCTCACCACAGCTAACAGACAGGAGTCCTGGGCTCTATGCAGTGCGAGTTTGGGCCTCCAGCCTCAGATCCAGCAGCTAGTGATAGCCCAGCAGCCTGTGACCCTTGCCTCCAACCCTCAGCGAGAAGGCCCTATGCACAGCAGAGATGCCAAGGCTCAGATACAGCCAAGGGGAGGCTTCTAGCCAGGCTCCAGGCCTGTAAAAAAAACCCAGTACAGGACAGCTGGGGCAGGGAGGTAGGTAGGTGTCAGGTAAAAGGCAGGCTAGGCTCTTACTCTCTGTGGTAAGAGCAGTATCTAAGCTGGGCCTTGGAGGGCAGACACAACACCTCCAGATATGGTGAGATGGCATCAAAGCCCTGGAGAGGGAAGAGAGGTCCAGAGCAGAGACCTTGGCATGAGCCAGGATGCCAGCAGGAAGAACAGACCTGGGGAAAGTAGGCTGACTATACAACTGCCTTCCATTAACTTCACCCACTACCCTAACAGACCACCCTGTTTTTAGGTCCTTCCTGGCACCTGTCTGTCCAAAAATACATTCACCCACAAACATAGAAGAGACAGCATGCCATTGTTGTACAGGGAAGAAGCCTCTGAGCCACTCCCAGACGCTGCCCCCAAGGGGGGCTTTGGCCAGAGAGCCTAAGGGTCAGTCACAGCCAGCCTCCTGCTCAGGAAGAGCCTGGCACATGCAGGGCCTTTGGATCTCTCCCCTGCGATTCATTCCCAGTGAGTGAAACCAAAACAAAACAAGCAAACAAAAACCCACCTCTCAAAACTACTTGCCAAACAGCTTTCCCAAAAGGAGCAGAATTTACATGTGAGGGGCGTCTGAACACTTGCGGCCTCATCTTTTCATTAGGACTCCTTCAATAGCTACAGATTAATCTTTATTTCCTTAATAATGGGTGAAGCCAAGTGTCACCTCCCCTTTCTACTAATGTCGACTTCTCCTGTAAATTGTTCATTGTCCCAGCCTACATTTTTCATTATTTGATTGGCCTCGTTATTGCAAGTAAACACCCTTCCAGGTGATGGTGTCTGCCCCTGTGCACACAGATGCCTAAATGTCCTCAAGGCAGGCACTGAGGAAGCAGTGGCAGGAGCAGGGAGGTCTCCTCTGCAAAGGCAAGGAGCAGGCGAGCTGGGCCAGGCAGCAGCGGGGCACTCTGAGGAGCAGAGACAGGGCCGGAAATCCGTGGGAAGTCGGCGGGCAGCCCCGGGTGAGGCCCAGGTGAAGACAGTCACTTGGTGACCACGGGTGGAAGTGACTCCACTATCGTGCCAAAGGCTTGCAGATTTTAGACTCATGATTCACAAGGGACAATTGGGTATCCACGGTCAGACAGGAAAGTGAAACAATATCCATCCCAGGCAGAAAGGAGGGGAAGCAGCTCCCTAAACTGGGCTCCTCCCAGCCAGGCTCAGGGAGGGGAGAGAACGAACCCTTCTCAAACATGTCCCCATTTACACCTCAGGGACGCCCTGGGGCACATGCTGGCAAGCGAGGAGGGGACCCTCCTTACCACCAACCCAGACCCCAGGGTTCTTATGCAGACCTCCCCCATCAGGAGAGGACCAAGAACATGGGTGAAGCAGCAAGGCCTCCCTCTGGAGAGCCACTCATCAAGTGCTAGGTCATGACTGCAGCCAGTCTAACCCACAACATTTGCTGCTCGACTCACAGTGAATAAGCAGGAGGAAGGGACACTGGATGCCCACAAGTGACAGGACCTGACTGACAGGACCGAGGGAGGGCGGCAGCCCTCAGAAGCAGTGGGGGTGAGAGTTCAGACCACCTAGTGCAGGATGTCACTACCCCCTCAGCACACGTCTGAGAGCTGTTCTGCATCTGGGTCACTGCTCTGTGTCTGGATCCATGTGCAGAGGTGGGGCCAGCCCAAGGGGGCAGATCCACCACTCATCAGCCTCCTCCTAGCAGTAGTTCAGGGCATAGGTAGGTGAACCTCAGACCCTAAGTAATTACCTCCCTGTGGGGGATTTCCAGCCCTGATGTGAAACAAGGAACTGAGACTTCTCTGGCGTCTATCCCCACTCACTGCTCCCTTTCCTCCACGCATCAACGGTTCCCACTCCACTCGAAATCCCCAATCTCTTGGCAGTGCAGCTAGACGTGTGCAGCCCTGGTGGCAAAGGGGAAACCCTGTACTCCCCAAGTTCAAGAACTGGTGAGACCCAAAGGCAGTAGTAAGCTAAGGCAGTAAGTCATTTCAGCCTGACTCTCACAGGACCACTCCTTGTCGGGTTCCTGCAGGCACCAAAGTCTCTAGTTTCTCTTTCTTTAAACTCCACTTTACAGATAACCAGGAAGCTAACAGAGGCCCAATGCTCACCACGCAGCTGGAAGATGGAGGAGGTTGGCTTTACACTAGCCTGTCATAGCGCCTGCCCACCACACACAGCCCAGCTGGTGCTTTACTGGGGGGGCGGGGGGGGGGGCTTCCCAGATACCACCAGGCTGGTGACAGCACCCCACCCACATACTCTCATTGACCTGCCACAGTGGGAAAACAGACAGGTTACAGAGTTCCTTGTAGCCACACAGGGTTGGCTTCATGCCAGGAGCACCAATGGATGGTCTCTGGGCCTCTGTCTCCCCCTAGGGTGCTCTAGAGATGGAGAGCTCTCCAACAGTAGGGCCTTCAGCCCATCCCCAGTGCTTGCCCTGAGCTGCAGACCACTTGGTAAATAAATGACAATGGCACTGGAGTCTCCCTGCCAGGCCCTGGAAATGGCACACCCCGCCTGTCTAGCCAGCCTGTGACCACACTGTGGCCCTGCCTCTATGCAGCACAGCCCACACCAACTCCTTCAGGGGACTTAAAGCCCACCAGGTCAGTGGTAAAAGCAAGTTCACTTTAAAACCAGCCATGTGGAAGTCACATTTTTGTTTTGTTTTTTTAAAGCAGAATAGTCTAGACTAGAATTTACAAAAACCAATTAGCTCAAAAGGCTTTGGAACTGTTCATCAGCAAGCAAGCTGTCCTTCCAAACCCAAACATGACACAGATGGCACCCAGAAGCACGCAGACCTCGAGCTTCTCGACGTGCTGCGCATTCTAAGGTCATCCAGGCTGAGTCACCATGCCCTGCCAGCCCCACGGCAGGTGTCAGTT